TACATACATACATACATACATACATACATACATACATACATACATGCATGCATGCATGCATGCATCCATCCATCCATCCATCCATCCATCCATCCATCCATCCATCCATCCATCCATCCATCCATCCATCCATCCATCCATCCATTACACCAGTGTTGACAGTGGCTCTTGGCTTGAACAACACAGTGGCCATCAGCGTCAGAAGCATGTGTAAAGTCGGGGAGACACACTGGTGGTGGGGGTCTTGGAGTCCTCCCCCAGAAATCTTTGAATAAATTAGATGCCATTTCCTGCATTTTGATTTATTTTAATGGGTTGTTAAGCATCTACATGTACCTACATAAGTAAACACTTGATTCAATAACTATTTTAGAGTTAATGGCACAACAAGAAGTAGCGCTAAGCTACCGGTGCACAATACAGATGGGCTAGCTAAGATGCTATAGATGTAGCACTCCACTTTACATTACACAACCTAATAAACGCTTTGTACAAAATCAATTTAGTATTAACTGATCATAACAAAGACTAATTTGTGCAACCAGAAGTTACCTACATTTAAAACACACAAAACAAAGCACAACTAGCTTTAACCATTAACCTTTAATTTAACCATTAATTATAAAATGTAATTATGATGGAAAATGGAGGATTTACCTTCGTACAGATGAACATGTGGTACTTCCTGTTTATAACTGTTGTATTCAGCTGCTCATGAGGTCGGCCACAGGACTTTATCATCTTTCACATTTTTTCATATTTTGTTTGGTTTTGGAACTGGAATAAACTGTATTACATCCTCTAAACACTCAGGGTAAGGCTGTCTGAGTTATATGTTCTCCACTGATAAAGTTTAACCATATTTTCTTGTGATTTTTCAAATTGATTTGACAAATTGAGGTTGCTGATTGGTCATTTGCTGACAAGCCTGCTGGACTGACTGACAGGTGGAGTCAATTATCTGACTCCTGCAAAAAAAAAAAAAAAAAATCATAGATTTGACTGACCTGTTTAAGAGGGTCATCATTTATTCCATATTTATTCCAAATTTATTCAATATTTTGGTGAATCTAAGGTTTGAGAACGGAGTTTCTTTACAAAATCATATTGATGGGTTATTTATTTTTCAGGGGTGCCGAGGTCAAATTTATTGGTGCTTGTGAACCCTCAAAAGGAGGCTAAAATTGCCACTGATTGCCGTTTAAAAACATTAAAAAAAAAAACTCACAGAACTGATTGTAGAGTAACATCACCACATTTTACACAGTTTCAAAACAGTAAGTCATCTTTGTGAATCCAAAAGTTTGCTGGAGCCTCTATAAATAATTGATGCTGTGTTATAATAAAATGTTAGGGAAGATAATAGGATCCAAAAATAGGACAGAAAAAGGCTGTGGCATTTCAGTTTCAACTGAGAGTCTAAACTTACCTGCTGCAAGCTGAATACAGCTGTCTGCATTTGATAATACAGTCTGTCCAGAGAAAGATCATTTCCAGTAGACTCTGGAGACACCCCCCCACCACCACCACCACCTCCACCACCACCCCTGTCTACTGTGTGTGTGTGTACTTTTTCCTCTTTCTGGACAGTTGTGGGGTTTTCTAAAGGCAACTGTCCATCTTGCTTTCTTTCTGTTTGCGAGTGGGAGGACCCTCTATTGACTATTGTGTACATAATTACTTGCCTGTTGAAAAAGTCAAAGCAGAGCATCCTCAGGCAAATGGTGCCAAAACAGGAAACAGAGAAAGGGTTTGATGCAAAGAGAAACTGAGAGCCACTCAGATAAGGAACAAAGAGAGTGACTGGAGGAACACTGAAAGAGATTTGTTGTGTTTGGTCAAAATGCTATTTTAGGTCTAGGCAATCAGAGAAACAGCCTTGGTTGGACATTTGTGTTTCTAATCATCTAATGCTTCTTGTTTTAGCACACAGATGCATGAAGCTGTAGGTGTGGGTTTATTATTGCATAATAACATACTCTGAATCCAGAATCCTAAAACTAAAACTGTTGTCAAAGGAGGACCATAGTGATGCAGCAAGACTGGAGGTCAGAGCAGAAATGATGGATAATTGAAAAGCTAAACCTGAAAGGCTGCCAGAGCAGAAAGTACAGCACAATTATAAACAAAGACAGGACTGAAGTGATACGACCAACAACCGATGCAGCTAAAGTGTGTGAGTGTACTGGAGTGATTAGTTGAGTGGCAGCAGTGAACAAGAAACAGAACAAGTGAAATGTCAATCAGAGACGAGATCAGGGAGGCTGAGGACATCTAGGAAACACAACAAACACCCAAACTTAGACACAAGAACCAAGAACAAAACACAAATACCTGTACATATAAAATATAGATTTTAAAATCAGCAGTTAATTTAAACATAACAACGATCCCATAACTCAAACCTCTACGTGGCAGTGGTACATCACCACAGACTTATCAGCTCTCACATCTCACACACAGACCGGTGTCCTTGGACTGCCAGCTGCACATGCAGGATCAAATCAGCTCCTCATTCAGCTCTCCGAGAGAGAAAATAACTCTCTGCTAACTCAAACACATGGTTCATGGGCAGTCAACATTCTCAGCCATAGTAGTTAAAAACATCCATAAACCTTTGACCACAATTCCTTGACAGGGGGGTACTCAATAGATACACTGTCAGATTGGGGAAAAGCAAGAGTTGCATGGTCAAGAGCAACATATACCAAGGGAGAGAGGAGGTCAGTCACAAGTCTTCAAGCGTTGGACCTACAGAAAAACATCAATTAAAGCCAAAAAAAATAAAAACTGTAAAATAGCTTTCTGTATGTATCTCCAGGCAGTGGCCTGCTGTAACACCCCCCTCCACCATCTGTCACATCCCACACTCTGTGGAAAGTAAAATAACCACCAGTGCTCATCTCTCTGAGTTACACTCCAATTAATTTTTTTTAACCAATGTACAGAAACTCAGCTACCCCCCAGCAGGCCCTCTAATATTCATATTCCATTTCTTCATGTTCTTGATACATATGTAGTTCAGCCAGAGTCCAGCAGCAGAATGGGGTCACTGTACTTTACTTATTCATGTCAACTTTGTGATTTCAGACACTTCTTTTCCTCATTCCTTTTTATCTCCATTTTTATTCCTAGATCTTAAAATCTCACCTAGTTTTCCTCTTCTTAACCTCCTCAGTGGCCCATTTTTTTTATTTTTTTTTTACATGTTTAATTATCCACACAGCCAGCAGAAATTTAAAGTCCTTGGGATTTGCATCAATGTCAAACACTCTCAGACTGTGGCTGCTGGTGCAGGAGATGATCCCAACTCTCAACATCTCAAATACAACCCCTGGTTGGCTGGAAAAGGGTAGAATTCACTTGTCAATATGGTCTGTCCTCATACTTTTTAGGATTACTAGCTGTTTAATCCTTTAGGTTCTTGACAGCCAAAGCCATTCTACATGCATCTAGTTATCTTATGTTAAACTGTCAGTTTGGGGGATTACTCTACATACTGGATGTGTCAAGAACCTTCAAATGTGCAGCGTTTTATTCAGCATCACTACTGTATAAAGTGCTGCTTTTGCGCTGATTAATGGTACTAAAACTGCATTTTCAAGTATAAATATCTTCATCTTTTAGATTTGAAAAGGTTGCTCAATGTGTTGCTTTGACATTTTCACTCAGTTGTAAGCATTGGTCTTGAATTGAAAAGTAACGGGACTTTTCTCTGAAAGAGCGAGCTGCTCCCCATTGAGGTGTCAGCTGTGCATTCTAGGAGCTGGAAGATTCAACCAAATACACACACACGCTCACACACTCTTTGTCGTGTGTCATCCTGCAGTCACCTACGCACACTCTTGATCTTTGAGAATAATCATCGTTTGGGAACATTCCATCTCATTGCTTATTCATAGTCTGTGTTTATGTCTTATTCATGCTACCACTCATCTTGTCTGTCTGTTTTAATGAGTAATTGGGAGTAATTGTGTGTGTGTGTTTTTGTGTGTGTGTGTTGAACGTGCAAAAGGCAGATTGAACCAAGAAAGGCGTAGTTATGTTTGGACCATGAGATTTTGTGCACATCTGCATCACATGAAAAAGGTTTGGATCATGTGGGTAGTTTAAGCTTCCATGCTTAATAAAAATTTACAACAGTTACATCAACGAGTAACAGATGAATGTGTTACTATGGTTTGGAGCCTGAGAAAGCCACAACAAACATTGACCTTATGTTTTAAGAAATAGTCAAGTCAGCTTTATTTATAAAGCACATTTAAAACAGTAGTTGTTGCCAAACTGCTTAACAATAAAAATCCATCCACCCATTATCTTTTACCCGCTTCTTCCATTTTGGGTCACGGGGGTCGCCGGTGCCCATGTCCGGCAATCACTGTGCGAAGGGTGGGGTACACCCTAGACGGGTCACAAGTCCATCACAGGGACACAGAGACAAACGAGACAAACAACCATTCACAATAAAAATCAATGGGAGTAATTTAATTTAAAAAATAAAATAAACTGAAAATTTATTAAAAGCATCAAAAGAAAAACATAAAAACACAAAATAATCAAATACTAAATCAAGTCACCCTGTGTTAAACATCAAAGAAAACAAATGAGTTTTTAACAGAGATTTAAAAACAGGAAGTGAAGGTCCTGTCTAATGTTGAGGGGCAGATTGTTCCAGAGTTTAGAGCCCAAGACTGAAAAGTCCAATCTCCTCTGAGCTTCAGTCGTGTTTTTGGTACAACCAAAAGCAGCTGATCAGATGATCTCAGCACCTGAGAAGGCAAATATGGTTGAGGTAGGTCAGAGAGATATGAGGGTGCAAGGTCATTTAGGCACTTAAAGGTTAGCAGGAAAAATTTAAAATCAATTCTGATGCATACAGGGAGCTAGTAAAGGGAGGACAAAACTGGTGAAATGTGATCAAACCTACAAGTTCCAGTGAAGAGTCGAGCTGCAGCTTTTTGGACGAGCTGGAGATGTGAAATGGAAACTTTCTGACCCCAACACAGAGAGCGTTACAGTAGTCCAGTCGGGTTGTAATGAAGGCATGGATTATTTTTTCAAGGTCAGATCGGGCCAACATGGACTTAAGCTTAACTATCTGCCTTAACTGGAAGAAGCTGTTTTGAAGAACAGAGTTAATCTGTTTATTAAACTTAAAATCAGAGACTAAAACCATCCCGAGATTTGTAACAGATCATATAAGATAAAGCTGAAGAGAGTAAAGTTTACAGGATCAGAGAGCACAGAAGAGCTAATGCTGAACACAATAGTTTTCTGATCATTGAAACATCATTGAAATAGTTCTCGTTGTTGTATACCTATTCCTCTGATAACCTTTGAATATGTTTGTTACTAGTTGTTTTTAAAGACTTGTTTAAAATCTGTGTGCTTCTCTGCTTGTCTTCATGTAACCTTGGTGTTCATGTCTCCAGTTGACCTCTGACCTTTCTGGGTGAGGTCTTGGTCATGAATGTGTTAAAGAGCTGCTGCAGAATTCTGACCGGATGAATAAACTAACAGCTGGTTTGAGAGGGGACCTAAAACAGTCAGTTTCACCTGAAAAATGTGAGCCATCACGTCAAATCAGGGATGCTATATTTGGTCAAAATAAACTAAGCACATTCTTAAATTCTTGGCTTTTTACTCTACATTGTGATAAGAGGTCATCCAGATATCATGAGTGGTTTCAAGTATATGGCTTGATTTGTTTTTCAAAACTGGACACGTTTTAACAGAGTTGTAAGAAGCTTTGATAAAATTTTATTCAACTTGTTGTTCAAAACATATCAGTCATTTGAAACTAATCATAATATAGAATGATCTACAGAAGGTATCACAATGTAGCTTAAATATTAATTAAATAGTAAATTAGTAATAATTAGTGGTAATTAGTAATAAAATTAGTAATTAGTAATTAAATAGTAATTAAACACAAAAGTGTTTCCCTCCTCTGGAGGAGCTGCTTTTGGATGATGAGGTGCTGACCTACACCTCCAAGTCCGTGGCTGCTCCTTGGTTCCTCCATCCTTGGCCTCGCTGTGAAAACCCACTTGCCTCCACTTTGCACTTTGAAGAGTCCACAAAATTTGTTCCTATTGACTTTGTTCTTCCTCCGGCTTCGCACAACTCTCAGCTGCAGAAAAGATAACGTGTTCATGTCTTCATCACTGCCTCTAATGTTTTTTTTTTTCTTAGTTACTGGTGTTTTTATTTGTTAAATAAATAAACTACCCATTTTTTTAATTGTCATTCATTTTAATAAATGTATTTGTTTTGGAGCGGCTATGGCTGAGTGGTTAGAGCAGCTGTCCATAGTAAGAACTTTAAAAATATACTTCATTCATTTTGGCCAAATATGACTTCATCCCTGATTTGACAAGATGGGTCACAAATTTCATAGGCCAATGCTATTTTATAAATCTTTACATTGTCAGTTTCATGTTACACAGATAGTCCAGCAGAAATAATTTGAAATTCCTATTAAAAGTGTTCAAAAAGCGTTCAATACAAAAAAGTGTTGCAGGTGCTATAGCTAGCTGATGCTATTCGCTATAGCAATTATCTAAAATTTATGCCTGTTTAAATGTTCTGGACCGTGTTGCTCCCCTTAAAACCAGAAAAACGAAACTTAAATCAGAGCCTTGGCTGAATGACGTCACTCGAGCCGTTAGGCGGCAGTGTCGCAGAGCTGAACGAAGGTGGAGGAAGGACAGGCTGCAGGTTTCTTTTCAAATGTTAAGGGAGAGTTGGCGTCACTATCAGAAAACCGTTAAAGTTGCCAAATGTAAATTCTTCTCAGATTTAATTGTCTCCAACTCCCACAACCCCCGAGTTCTTTTCTCCACCCTGAACTCAGTTCTACACCTCAGTGAGCCTTCACCTCTGGAAGCCTCAACTGAGCTGTGTGAGAACTTCCTCCATTTCTTTTTAGAAAAAGTGGCAAACACCCGGGCACTCATTTCTCCACCAGCTCATGATCTGTCCATCCCATCTCAGTGTGTGGCTGTGTTTGACCACTTTGAGCCCATCTCTCTGTCTTCTCTGGAGCAGGTAATGTGCAGCATGAAGCCATCTGGTTCCCCCTTTGATGTGGTCCCCCCTCGACTACTAAAGGAAGTTTTTCCTACCCTGGGTCCTTTTATTCTCGCTATTCTGAATAGCAGTTTATCCTCAGGTGTGGTGCCAAAAACTTTTAAACATGCTGCTGTCCAGCCCCTCCTGAAAAAACCTAACCTTGACCCCTCAGTCACGTCCAACTTCCGGCCTGTCTCCAGACTCCCATTCACCTCTAAACTACTGGAAAAAATTGTGGAGTCTCAGTTGAAACAGTTTTTGGGGGATCACGCTATCCTAGAGTTATTCCAGTCTGGCTTCAAATCTCTCCATAGCACTGAAACTGCTCTACTGAAGGTTTTTAATGACATTTTCATATCCACAGACGCAGGTGATTCTGTGCTGCTTGTCCTATTGGACCTTACATCTGCTTTTGACACCATCGACCACAAGATCCTCATTTCTAGACTGGAGCAGTGGGTGGGCATCACAGGGTCAGCCCTTAAATGGTTTGGGTCCTACCTCTCTGACAGAACCTTCTGTGTCAATATCAAAGATTTTAGTTCGGTATCGACAGCGCTCCAGTGGGGGGTACCACAGGGGTCCATCCTCGGTTTCCTTCTCTTTTCTTTATACCTGCTGCCACTAGGTGCTATCTTCCGCAAACACAACATACCCTTTCATTTCTACGCTGATGATTGCCAAATTTACTTCCCCCCGAGGCACACGCTCTATTCAGCCTCTTCTTGACTGCCTGGCGGACATCCGGGACTGGATGGCTTTAAACTTCTTAAGCTTCAATGAGAAGAAGTCTGAAGTCATGCTGTTCCATCCCAGTGGCTCACTCATGAACCATGACATTGACCTTTTCTCTCTAGCCCCGCTAGAGAAACAAAAGGTCACTAATCTGGGGGGGATAATGGACCCGTCCTTAAAACTCAACAGTCACGTAAACATGATGGTCAAATCCTGTTTTTTTCAGCTGAGACGGCTGTCTAAGCTGAAGCCTATACTCTCCAAAAAGAACCTTGAGACAGTGATCCACGCCTTCATAACATCTAGGCTTGATTACTGCAATTCACTTCTGTTTGGAATCAGTCAGTCCTCCATTGCTCGTCTACAACTGGTTCAAAATGCTGAAGCCCGATTTTTAACTGGTACTGGCTATAGAGAGCACATCACGCCAGTTTTGGCCTCCCTGCACTGGCTACCCATTCACCTTCGGATCCAATTCAAAATTCTCATGTATGTTTTTAAATCACTGAACAGTTCCGCCCCATCCTATGTCACTGATCTTCTGCAGCCATATGTCCCACCGCGCTCTCTGAGGTCAGCAGACCAGATGCTTCTCTCAGTCCCAGAAACCCGTCGTAAGCTCAGAGGTGACAGGGCTTTCTCTGTTGCAGGTCCACGACTGTGGAATGAGTTGCCACTGAGTGTCCGGCAGGTTCCCACACTCTCAGTCTTTAAGTCTCGCTTGAAGACCCACTTCTATTCTCTTGCCTTTACCACGTTGTGATTTGTTTTGGTCCGGTCTGTACTCTACTCTGTTGGCCATTTTAGTTAGCTTCTGCTGCTATTTGTATCTGTATTTCTATTTTATGTTTTCCTGTCCGCTGTGCATGTTTGTTTTCTTTTGTACAGCACTTTGGTTGGCCTTGTTGCTGTTTTAAGTGCTCTATAAATAAATTGGTATGGTATGGTATGGTAAAATTTATATGTAAATACAATCATTTTGACTTGTAAAGTGAAACTGACTGTGATGATGCATAGTTTTCTTTAAACACAAAATAAATAAATAAATAAATAAATAAATAAATAAATTAAATAAATAAATTTAGACGAGCTGTTTTAGGAAAGCTGAAGCCTGTGTTGTTCTCGGTCCTGCTAGCTGTTTGCTTAGCAGACTGGATAATTTCATAAACCTACAGGAGGTCAGGCAACAATTGTTCATGAGCTTTCTTCAGAACCCCACTTCAAGGGCGGCTGTGGCTCAGTGGTTAGAGCAGTCGTCCTCCAATGCAAGAGTTGTGGGTTTGAATCCACCAGCAGTCACATGCCAAAGTGTCCCAGGGCAAGACACTGAACCCCTCATAGCCTCCGATGTGTGTCCCATCAGTGTATGAATGTGATAAAACTCTGATTAGTCTCATTAGAATGATTTGTTCAATTAGCTTTGTAGAGATCTAGTAGAGTGCTGTACAGTATGAATGTATAAATGAGGACACAGGTTATGGTGTAAAGTGCTTTGAGTATCTTGATCAGATAGAAAGGCGCTATATAAGTACAGTCCATTTACCATTTACCAAAACATCTGAATTATTATGTCATGGTTCTGTGAATAAATTACTTGTTTTACATACCTGACCCAAGCTGATATTTATTTATTTTCGGCTTATTTCATTTATTTTTTTACTAACAGATGAAGTCAACGGTTTTGGCCCAGAGTTTGAGCAGCAACCGGTGGACACCATCTACCCCGAAGAGTCACCCGAGTCCAAAATTATCATGAGCTGCCGGGCTCGAGCAAACCCACCTGCCATATACAAGTAACATATGTTCCCATGAACTCTCATACTGCACAGTGTGTGTGCTGTGGGCCCCCCAGGACCCCCCCTGGTTATAGGTCTGTTTTTAGATGCCAAGGTTACAAGGATGTTCATATTATCTCTGATGCAACACTAACATTTAGTATTGTGACCATCATTTCCTTCTTTCATATAGTCTTTAAATTATGCTCGGATAAATGTGTTTGAGGAACATTTCTTTCTACAACAATAATTGTATAATTTGAAATCCCAAATGTGACACATCAGTTCTTGTTGCTGCAGCTGAGGCACACCCCATATCACCACTGTGTCTCATGTACCAGCATCTCACACGAGCTGTTTCAATTTAGATGTAAATCTATGTAAATGTCCTGCTCTGGATCCTTGAAAATTGCTTTTGCTGTGAAAGGTCCCAGAGTCAGATGTCAGATGAGAAACAATTAGCTTTGACCACAGCTTGCTTGTTTTGGATGGTTCTTGTTTGTTTAGCACCACTCAATTTCAAGCAAACTGAAATTGTTGTTTTGCATGAAACAATCATTATTTTGTACAGCCTTGAAAAAAAAAAACTGATCTTATTAGCACAGGATAATAATGTTTTTAAAATTCACCTTATTGTTTTGAGCCACTTATCTGTGTAGTTCTGTTGTGATTGTCCCTTTTAAAACAACAAAACTTAATGATAAACTTTACAAACATATCAGTATGCTGATTCCAGATGTTTTCCATGCAGATGGAAATTGAACGACATGGAAATTGACTTGAGTGAAGAGGGAAGCCACTACAGTTTATCAGGAGGCAACTTGGTCATCAGCAACCCGTTGAGAACCGAACATGTGGGCAAATACTCTTGTTTGGCCACCAACATGTTTGGCACGGTCGTCAGCCAAGAAGCATCTGTCCAGTTTGGATGTAAGTTGTTTAAAATACTAGCTTTGCTTTACTGGAAGCTGGGATGTGCAGCTCCATCCAGATGTTCCACAGCTGCCCTGGAGCTGCATTTTGATGCATTTTATTCAGATCAAGACAGCAAAAAAGCAGCTGGGACAGATCGATGTGACTGATTTTCCTTGCTTTCTATGAAAAATTACTCATTGACTAATTATTGAACTCTGTACAAAACATGTTTATTTTTTTGCTGTGATAAACTGTTGTAGGGGGTGCTTTGGTTCAAACAATATCAGGGTGATGATGTTTTCTCTTTGTTTTTCAGACCTGGATTTTTTTTCATTAGAGGAGAGAGGGATAGTGCATGTCAAGGAGGGCCAGGGGGCCGTCCTGCTCTGTGCTCCCCCTCCACATTTCCCAGGTACAGTGTATGAAGGCTTAGTCTGTGTATTTTGCTGAAGTATTTGTACTACATTACATTTTTCTCCTCTGATAATTTGATTTCTGTCCTGGGTTTTGATTTAACGAAACTACAAACTGCACATTGTTCATATATCCACTAACAAATTCAATTAAAATCATTACAATTATTTGTTTGTCGATAACTTTCCGTATTAATTCATCAACCAGAACAAAATGTATATTTTCAATATTTATGCATGTGTACATTTGTTCCCATGTCGAATTTAAGCACTGGCTCATGCTCACAATTAAAAGAAACAAATGAAGAATGTGGCCAGTTCTGCCTTTCAGCTGGATTCTAAAAATTCATCTGCAGAGGTCAATGGATGCTTGAATCATGAGTTCTCTCAGCTCTGCGTAGTTGTTCTATTTTGGTATTGCATGTATTTAGATTATTCAGCGTGAGCCAGCCTCATATCAGACCCCTCCAGCTGTAGTCAAACTGCGGCCACATAATCAAACCTTTGATTGACAAGCAACACTTTATTCTCTGTGTTTGCAGGCGGGCTGTCATTTCGATGGATGCTCAATGACTTCCCCAGCTTCATCTCACTGGACAAGCGAAGATTTGTCTCCCAGATAACAGGCAACCTGTACATCTCCAAGGTGGACTCATCAGATAGGGGCAACTACTCCTGCATGGTATCCAGCCCGTCCAGTTCTAAGAGTGTGTTTTCCAACTACATTCCCCTCAAGTCTCTGGCTGAACGTTAGTATTCTCTTCCTGTTCCACCTGTCTGTGAGGTGAACTCTAGAGCAGGGTTTGAGTTTGGTGCACAAATTACATGCACAGAAACTCATCACAGTATAGCTTATTTAAGTCAAATAACAGTATGACAAAAATTTCAGCACTGAATTAATAGAATTGATAAAAACAGCAAACATGTTTTATAAAATTTCTGTTTAGTGGCAACAAACTCAAAAACATCAGAGGTGTTATGTTGTTATACTTTTGTCATTAACATGAGATGCAAATAAAGAGTAGGTCCTCAAATGGACAGAGACAAGGATGCTATAAAAACCAGGGCTTAATTTGAGCTGAATCCTGCCGGAACAAGAGGCCGGGAACGCTCTTATTTTGACAGGGTGCGTTCCAGTAACTGTTTTCGTGGATCCAGTAACTCTCAAGCCTAATAATAATAAATTTATGCACAAATTTGAATATCTTGAACAAATATAACCTATATTGGATATGTAAACTGAAAATTACATAAACACTAATTTTAAACATAACAAGCTTCCTAATATCACATCAGAGCTGTTGCTTCACACTTCCACTTCTGCTCTTAAAAATATTTCCGCCCCTTAAAGTTCAAAGCCATGGGAAATTTTATATATAAAAAAATATATATATTTAAAATAAACATTTTGCATTACGCATAAGTTCCTGCGCTTTTGTGAACAACCTGATGTGTGAATCACTGCAGGAGTTATCTGAACTGCATAAAAGAGACGATGATCTCGGCTCATAAAGCTGTTTGTCGTGCAGTCAGAGTATTAGAAGCGATGTTGGAGCGACCAGGAGGATTGAGAGCAACTCTTTTCTAAGCCAGTGACAAAGTGCTAAAGGCTGTGTTTTCTAAGAGTGGCCAAAAACTTAGAGCAGCGCTTGTTGTCCCACGGTGCAGAGCAGGGAGGAGGATGAGGAGGCGCAGCTGACCGCGGTGTGGGATATACTAAACAACTAGTAAAGTAAGAATATAAACTTATAAATCACACATAAAGCATTTAAAAGTTCATTATAAACATGAACTTGCTTCAGTGGTGATTTTAGCCTCTTTTGGAAGGTGCTCAAGCACTCCTAAATTTTAACTCAGCACCTCTAAAAAATAAAGAAACTATCATTAAGATTTTGTAAGAAAACAGTTCTCAAACCTTAGAGTCACTAAAATATTGAATAAATATGGAATAAATGATGACAGTCTTAAACGGGCCAGTAAAATCTATGATTTTTTTTGCATGAGTCAACCCACCTGTCAATCAGTCCAGTAGGCATGTCAGCAGCTGACCAATCAGCAACCTCAATTTGTCCTGAAGTGAACGCCCCTTACCTGCAGAGCTGCAGTGGTTTTGCATTACGGACTCTTTGCAGTCATTTCAATAATGAGTTTACATCTTTGGTTTCTGCTGTAATAAATCTTTGTAAAATACACCAGAATGCAGGAAATGGCATTTGCTTTATCCAAAATTCTCTGGGAGGAGGATCCCAGACCCCCACCCCGCACCTGCCCGCCATTTGCGTTCTGGCATCATTTGATTTACAAATTAAGCCCTTATTAAAACTAATTTATTTTCTGTTAAAAATATTAATGATTATTTTCTTCAACAATAAATGCCCATGCTTAATCATAGGAGTGCCTTTTAGTCTGATGAAGTCGTGTCACCATTATTAACTTTTTTACTAAATTGACAGGAAGAAATTTACTTAGATTTCAACCAATAAACGACTTGGTTTAAAAGTTATTAGGCTTTGAAGAAACGACAAAACCATGAAGAGTGACAGAGATGACACAAATAAGATAAAACAATACAGTTATACTTTGTTATTTAATAGAACTGTTCAGATCTTTTAGAATGGAGTTCTGTGGAAATATTATATGTAATCAACAAAGTCCATGCTCAATAATCCAGGTTAATATTAATCCAACCTGGATAACTGAGAATGGATTTTTTTGTTTTCAACCAGTTTGACACGACTGTCAACAAGGAAGAGGGCCGGCAATGGAGGAGGGGGCGTACCAAAGAGACCATCTTATCACAAGCAGAACTGATTTGTTCCACTTTGGAGTAAGCTGTTGGGGGAAGAATCAGTTTTGTTGTGTGTTTCCTTGACTGATGAAGCCTTCCGGATCAAAGGCGAAACGTTTCAGCACAAAAAAAGAAACTGTCCAGGACTGAAAAATGTTGGATTATATGTAATAGTACTTTACCTGTTGTGGATAACACTTTGAATGACCTCAGTTTAGAGAAATCAAGATTAATTGAGACTGAGTTGACAATCTAATGAGTGTTTAGGCAGTCCAAGACTTTTTAAAATGAAATTCCTGCTTGTAGCGCTATAGCTTGCTTGGGAGTGGTGGCGCAGAGGTTAGAGAAGGTGAGCATGTGATAGGAAGATCGCCGGTTCAACTCCCGGTGCCGACAACGTTGAAACTTGAGTGGGATTGGTGAAGCACCCACGCCTGCCTCCACCCTCATCTGTCTCACTCTGGGCTCTTGAGCAAGGCCCTTATCCCCCACCATCTTCTCCCTCAGGCGCCCTAGATAGCAGCTCTCTGCTCCACACAGAGGGCTGTGGTAGTTCGATGGACTGTGGTTGTGTCAGGAAGGGGTTCGGGCGTAAAAATAATTGCCAAGTCTTTGTGTGATTTAGTTCCTTTTGGTGACCCCTGAAGAAGGGAGCAGCCGAAAGAAGAAAAATTAAATAAAAAGTGCTATAGCTAGCTGTTTCTGTTTATGCCAGCAAATAAATTAATAAATAAATAAGTATGTAATGCAAAACCAATGATGATATAAAGATTTCTAAAATGGTGTTTGTATGAAGAGCTATGCAATTTTGAACAATGGGGTTTAAAGATTAATTTAAACTATTTAATTCATTATTTAACTAAATAAGATTAAAGAAAAATTCATTTAAACTATTTAATTATTATTTAACTAAATAAGATTAAAATGAATTGCTACTATTTTAAAACAATTTGACATGAAAGAGAAAGGAACACTAACCTTTGGGGGCATGATTTTTTTTTTTTTTTTTACTTATAACGTAAATAAATTTTATAAAATGCTGTTTCTATGTAGTTTTTTATTGTTGTTGTATGTGTGCATGTTTGTGAGTTTCACCTTTTGATGTTTCTGCTCAGGTCCCATTAGAAAATACCCAGCTGACCTCAGAGTTAAGTTCCCAGACACTACTGCTTTGGTGGGACAGAATGTCACATTAGAATGCTTCGCTTTGGGGAAGTAAGTGATAGATCTATAATTATCTGCTTGCTTAGGTTCATTGTGCATTTCGTGCCTTTTCATGAAAATATGTCAGCCATTAGTATTTTTTTATTTATTTAAATGACTCTAAAAGGAAAAACTGAAATTGTATCAAATAGATTTGATAGGTTTGGTTGCCCAAAACGTAGAAAAATCTAGACTTAACCCATTGCTTCTCAAAGACAGCATGAAAAATGTTTACTCATCACATGTACTAAAGCCCCATACGTTACTGCTCGGTATGTCAAAAAGCAAAGATCTAGTATATTTTTAAAACATCATAAATGTGTTGATGACATTGCATAAATTTGCACCTGGCTCAATATATAAGCCAGGTGCCGCCCTGTGGCTGAGTGGTTAGAGCAGTCGTCCTCCAATGCAAGAGTTGGGGGTTCAAATCCACCAGCAGTCACATGCTGAAGTGTCTCAGGGCAAGACACTGAACCCCTCAATGCCTCTGACTTGTGTCCCATCGGTGTATGAATGTGATCTGAAGCACTGATTAGTCTCTTTAGAACGATTTGTTCAATTAGCTTTGTAGTGATTTAGTAGAGTGCTGTATGAATGGGTAAATGAGGCACAGATTGTAGTGTAAAGAGCTTTGAGTATGTTGATAAGATAGAAAGGCACTATGTAAGTACAGTCCATTTACCATTACTGTTTTCCATTTTTCCACCTCAGCCCAGTACCTGATATTCACTGGAGGAGGATGGGCAAAGAGATGCCATACAACCACGAGGTGCGGATGGCAGGTGCTCAGCTGTATCTCCATAATGTCCAGTTTGATGACAGTGGCACCTACAGATGTGAAGCAGTCAACTCAAAAGGAAAGGACTTCCACTATGCAAATGTGTCTGTTCAGGGTAAGAAATGTGTTTGTCATGGTTTAGGCCATCGTTTTAGTCTAATGTAATAAATTTTGGGGACACTTTGTTTATGTTTTTTGTATTTTATGTTGGAGTCTAGGACCTTTTGGTGATTTTGTGTGTATGTCCTGTTCTTATAATTCTGGTCATGAACTCCTGATGTGCTCAAAAGCCCTGTTTTAGCTCTTTACATGCCACCTAGCTTTTGTTAGCAATCGGCACACCTGTTTTACTTTTTCATTACTACTCCCAGAATATACACCTTGGACATAGTTCAGTAATATGGCTTTTAAAATAAGCCCCTCTTTAAGCTGCTTCTGTAGGAAGAAGGGATTGTAACTAAGCTGCATTGATGACACTACACATATAAAATGTGTGTCGGACACCTCCCATTCTGGGAGACTGTGACAAAGCCAAGATTCAACTTGTCTGCTGGATTCCTTAGATAGAGAACTTTACTAATTGGCTTTTCTATGTATGTGAATTCTTCTGTAAAGTGCCCTGAGACAACTTTGTTGTGAATTGGCACTATATAAATACACTGAATTGAATTGAATCCCACAGTCAACTGGTTGTTTAGACTTTGTCATCTTCACATCAGAACATTGAGCACTAATGCCAGCTTACCTTTTCATATACTGACCTCATGACCCTAGCCTTACCTTGCTAGGTGGCTCAGGAGCCTAACAGCGGCAGGTTGACCTAAACACCTTACTCCACCTCAGTCCTTGCAGAAATTACACCAACACAGGCAGAAGGCACTCTAGGCCCAACTTGAAGTGTTTTATGAAATGGGCTTTTTTGTTTTCCACAGTTCATTGTGAAATGCATTGGTCAATGGTCCAAACTCTGATTTAGGAGGAAAAATGCTGGTTCTGATCCACTGTTTCAAGCCATTCAATCCCTATGCAAATGGTGTGAAAGTATGGTTCCTTTTACTAGCAGTAAGTTTGACCTCTTCAGATTGAGAGTTGGACTTCATAACTTTATAGGCAGAAATTTTCGGTGCAGCCAGGGGATAGAGAGGGGAGACATTGTGTTGAGGTGGCCTCAGGATTTTGTTTGTACTATTTGCAATCAACAATGTCCTATTGGCATCATTGTGTCTTGATCTCCAGCTCTCACTGGAATAGTTAAGAGCCAAGAGTGATGCAGCTGGGATGAAGATCTGCCACTTCAAATAGTAAGAATGCCCCCTGGATGCTTCCCAAGAAAGGTGTTCCTGGTATGTCCGATTGGGAGGAGACCCCAGGAAAGACCCAGAACACGCTGATGAAATTATGCCTCTCAACTGGCTGGATTCTGCTCTATTTTCCTGACAGTTTAATTTTTAATCCCACACATTATTTCTGATTTTGACTCCTGCTTTCGTGCATTTGTATCCAACATCACTTTATTGGATGACAGCATCTTGTATGTGCTAGTCATTGTCTTTTGGAACATATAGTTGCAGCTCACATTAAGTTTTACAGGTTTATCTGTTAAGGTTCCTCTTTGCAAACAGTAAATGATATGTTTGTGTACTACTGGTTACAAATACAATACTTCTGTCTAACTAGTTTTTAAATTGACCAGAGTGTGTTTTCAGTTTTCTGAAATTCGTTCAAAATACTGTATCCCTGTCTTTTCTCATTTGCAGCATTTCCTGAGTGGGTGGAACGCATTCGTAGCACAGAGAAAGACATCTATAGCAGCTTTACCATGTCATGCATAGCCAAAGGTGAACCACAACCACAAATCCGCTGGCTGAAAAATGGAGAACCGGTAAAATTTTAAACTCATATATTTTTGTAGCTGTACCACTGAGCAGCTGAGAAGTACAGATTGAGTCCTCTGGGCAGGGTAGCTCTTGTCTGTTCAGTATGCAGCCACATGTTTTTCTTGTAGCTCAGCAGAGACAGGAAGCTGGCACTGTGAGTACACATCATGACAGCAGAAAGTGTCTGTTGTTAGGCAGCATGTGCTGTGTAACCCCCTCGAACAACCATTGTTATCACAACTGAAATCCTCATGAGGGGAGCTAACTAGTAACAGTGAAGTAAGCATATAGTTAGTACTGAATACATGTTTGTGTATATGAGAACACATTTAATGTATTTTGTTGAATCTAGATGAGATGAACTTTGTACTTTTAGTGCTTAGTATATTCTTAGTTTAGCATATTTCTTAGTTCATATCTTAGATATTATTACTGTTTGTCTTTACAATTTATACTTTTGTTGGATGTAACTTCTAGAATTCTAGGATGTAAGTTCTAGAATTCTAGGATGTAAGTTCTAGAATTGCGCCGCCCAAGGTGGCTGCATGTTGGAGCAGCTCTGTTACTTTCACTCTGAGATTTTGCTTTTGGAAACGTTAATTCCTCTTTTTCTGGATGTAAATCACCTTTTTTGGATGATTGTTTCCTCTGGATGCTGTGCAGCTGGAAGGATTTTTACTGAAACGTTTTTAGTTTGGGACATTTGTTATGATGCGTAACCATGGCAACAAGGCAGTTTTCTACAACCAACAGCTGATTAACATTTCAAAAACTCAAATAATATCTCAACTACAGCCCCAAATCTCAAATGAGTTGAAAGGATATTCTGTGAACGCATTTTCATCTACCTGCCAGCTGTGCTCGAGTGCCTGACCACTGAGATCCTGGAACTAGCAGGAAACACGGCTCACGACAGCGGAAGGATGGGATCACCCCTCGGCACCTACAGTTGGCTGTCCGCAGTGGCGAGGAGCTCGACAGACTGCTGGGAGGAGTGGCCATCGCACTAGGAGGAGTTCTGCTCTGCATTCGGGTGGTCCTACAGCCCGGGGGAACCGAGAGACCAGCCGAGTCTGGGTGGACGGATCAGACAGCATCTGCAGCCAGTTTCTTAGGATCCACTGTGGGATGGACCTTTTCATGAGAACCTTCCTGCTTACAGCCATCAGCATCTATAACATCTATTAATGAAATGAGGATAACGAGTTACAACAAATAATTTCCCTTTGGGATTAATAAAGTATTTTTAAATTTTGAATTGAATTTTGAACTGGGACCATGTGTGCTAGAGTTGCATTTGGGCCGTAAAAATCCAATCCGGCCCCAGCCCGTAGCCATCATTTCCGAACCCCACACGACCTGATGAATTAACAGTAATTACAGGTCCAAACCTGAAACACCCCCCCACCCGACATTTTTAATTAAGCTTTGACTTTATACCATACCATACCATACTGCTTATTGTATATAGTCATTAACGGTTGGCGGATGCGTGCGGCTGAGGGGTTAGAAGATTGGAATTGAGGGGGTGTTTGTCCTTTCATGGCCATCAAAGTGCATTGAATCCCTGCTTCTGCCTGCATTCTGCTTTATTCAGACATGGACCCTGCTCTGACATGTCTGATATTTTGTGATCTCACCTGTTTGGGTCGTCGGCCACGCACATCCGCTGAGTGCAGCGGCTGAAAGAACGTCCATTTGGGCTTTGGATGGATCGCTGCCTGGCAGTACAGTCCCATCTGAAGCTTAACTGAACTTTTTTTTTTTTTACCTCTTGGTCATTGCATGGTCAAATGGCTGTGTGCAGCTGGTGATTGTATGGCAAGCCATGTTGCCATATACTTGGATCAACAGCCGTGCACGTCCGCTGATGCAATCAAAAGCCCTACACCAGCCCTGCCTGCAATTAAGCTCTTTATTATTTCCCAGTCCTGATCCAGGTCGGGTGGAGCCGGGAGGAGCCGGGCTCTGAGTTTGGGTTAGAAATGACAGCTCTACTGTGTACACAATTTCGTTCCACCACATACACTATAATTGGTGCGAATGACAATAAAGAAACCTTGACCTTGATGAAGTCTGTTTTTTATGTAATTGTATTTAAAGTGTCAGTTGTAATTTTATGACTGTTAGAAAAAAAGCTTTTTTAATTTTTGCTTCCCACCATATTTTAAACAGTATGAAAATGGTGAAGTAAAATTAAATCATTTTAAAATTCACTTTCATTGTCTATAGATGGATAGAACAGAAATGAGGTTCAGCAGGCTGAAGTTTGATGATTCAGGGATGTACCAGTGCATTGCAGAGAATCGTCACGGAGTTATTTTTGCCAACGCAGAGCTGCGAGTGATTGGTGAGTAACATTTTAGCTTAAACCACTGCAAGGACGCCTGTGCTGTTAGGTCCACATTTCACGATGACTAATTATCAGCACTTAATAACACCTACTGTTGCTCCTCAGCTCTTGCTCCAAAGTTTGAACGCCGCTCACAAAAAAATGTGCTAGCACCTAAAAACGGTCGCGTTGTGATTGAGTGTCGACCGAAAGCAGCTCCGAGGCCCACATTCTTCTGGAGCAAAGACACAGAGCTGCTGTCCAACTCCACCAGGTCAGTAGCTGCTTCATAAAAAGATGGGATCTCCTTTTTATCCCCTGCCACCTTTAAAGGCAAGGTCTTGGTTCAAAACTTTGACACTCAAGAAGTGATACTTTCAGTTTTTATTAGTCTAATCAGGAGAAATTTGATGCAGTTTTATTTATTTTTGTGTGAATTTATTTTTATGTGAATATAAATTTTCATTTACAGTAGTCCCTGGCTACTTCCTGGTTCATTTATCGCAGAATTGCTCTATTGCAGTTTTTCAAAATAAGATTGGTCATGACACACAAGTGGATGATTAATGGATGAGCTGCGCGATCAGCATGGAATTCTATTTAAAATAAATTATTTTAAATTATTTAGCAATGCACCTTCGTGCAGCCCAGAGCTGCAGAAAAAGTTTCCTCCTGCACATTTGTGCAGCCCTTACTGCTGCAGGATAAACTTCCTGCTGCAGCTGATCAGCTGTTCTCCTGCAGAACAGAGAAGTGGGCGTGGCCAATAGCGCTTGCAGGCGGCAAAGAGCAGAGTAGACAGGGAGCTGAAATCATGACATTCTGTGCTCTTTAAGAGCGTTTAGAAACATTGTTTAGAATATTGCAAGCATGTTGGAAGGTTTTAAAACACACACACACACACATATATATATATTTATAATAAAATAAACTACTATTTACTACCTGTAGTACTATTTCTACTTCACAGTTTTTCATTTATCGCAGGGCTTCAGGGTACGGATCCCCTGCGATAAATGAGGGACTACTGTATTTGTATTCATTCATAATATTCATTTAGTTTTCTGCTCTTGTTTCTATCGTCAGTATTTATTAAGTGTAGGACACAACATTATCTGTCACTGTCAGACACATCTGGGTCACAAAGAAAGAACCTTTCATTCTGTCTTGAAGGGGGAGCTACAGTTGCAGCACAAATACGATACAAAATGTGGATCTGTAGGATCTAAATAGGCTCCATATCTCAAATTTTTTGAAAAGTCTTTGATGATTTTCCACACAGCAGCTGACATTGAGCCTGTTCTGAAGATCAGTGTGGATAGACTAGCGCCGCCCTGCCTCGTGTGCCTCACTGACAAAACAAACATAATCTGTGAACAGCGAGACCCCCAGCTATGATCCGTGATGCTAGCATCCCCCCACCACAGTGCCCCCTCACATATTGTAGAGGAGGGGTAGCAGACAAATTACAAAGCAGCATAAGCATTCTAATTTTCTGCTGTTGTGAGAGAGACGGTGCATTGTGGTGACGGGGCAGCTGGCACACTGTTTGTCATGCATGAATATGAAGTGTGCAGAAAAACCCGTGTTTAAATGACCTTAAGAAAACGGGCTTTCTTCAGTTTTCATCATTGTTCACCCACGGAATAACAAACAGTGCACTTCTGACCTTGAAAATCTGTGCTGAATGATTTATTGTATAAAAGTCGCTCTGTGCAGAGAGTTTGATGACATCGTTCTGCTGCCTCCTCAGGGTGTTCATCTGGCTGGACGGGAGCCTCGAGATCCTGAATGTGACGCGAGCTGACGAGGGCAGGTACACCTGTTTCGCTGAGAACGACTTGGGGAAGGCCAACAGCACGCGCCCTCTACTGGTCACAGGTGAGTCAAACAACAACAACACTGATTTATTTCAATGTTCTGTTCAGGCTTCATGTTGCTTTGATGAATGTTGAAATTAGCTGGCAGTCATAAAAAGACAGCTTTCAAATGTCTGCTAGTTGAAATAATAGAGCAGAATGACAATATACAAATAAAGGTTGAATGAATATACGCCCTCCTGCTGTTTATTCAGTCATCCCCCCAAGGGCAGATGCACAAGGGGGCTGCTTTAAATCCAGTGTCTGGAGACAAGAGGATTAACCTCATTGTTTAGTCTAAATCAAGAGCACTTGAGTTCAAGATCAGCTGAGATTGTTTACCCCCAAAAAAAAATGTTTTTTTTTTTTTTTTTTTTTTTGCTTTATGTTTTCTACAATCTCAGCTTCAAAACATTATTATTATTATTTTGAGACAGCTGATCTCTACTCTTCTTAATGCACAGCTCTTTTCTGCTCTCTGCTGGACAAGGTGAGCAGTTTCCCCTTCCAAACTCTCAAAAGGTTACTCCGTTTATCTTTGAGATAAAAATATTACACTCTTTAAATGTAACTTCAGAGCGCAACAAGATTTTACTGAGGTGATGTGGGATCATTTGATATAATTTGAAGAACAATGCTGAAGCACATTTCTACATAGAAATGTTCCATTTCAAAAATGAGTTTACTTTATTAAAAGGAGAAGAAATGCATCTACACTTACAGGTAAAGCCGTTTGAGTAGTTCAGTTTTTTTTTTTACATGTGAGCCTTTTAAACTTGAATTGCACAAACAGTAAAAATGAAAAAAGTAAAGAGAAAAGCGAGATGGAGAAAACGTCCAACATCTAATGAAGCATCAATCTAATAATCATCTATACAGCACCAAATCACAACCAAGATGTCTCAGGGCACTTTACAGAAACATTCACATAGAAAAGCCAGTTAGAAAAGTTCTCTCTAAGGAAGAAGCAGACTCGTTGAATCTTCACTTCGTCACAGTCTCCCATCCTGAGCAAGCACAAAGGAGACAGTGGAAAGAAAAAACTCCCTTTTAACAGGAAGAAACCTCCAGCAGAACCAGGCTCAGGACAAGCAGCCATCTGCTTTGACCGGCTGGGTTTGAGAGGACAGGAAGGAGAGACAGACGAACACAGAATGGTAGGTCCAGGTATAGGTCCAGGTGTAGGTCCAGGTATAGGTGCAGGCGTACCTGAAAGACAAAAACACATGTTAAGATAGAAAAAATAATTACAAATACAAAACATGTTGAGCAGAGTAAGTAAAGACAGTAGCAGAGTGAAAAGTGTGGTCAGTTTGTCCTCCAGCATCTAAGCCTATGAAATAAAAATAAAATAGAAGTTCAAGATAGCATCCATCAGCTTAATTATTTCTGTGAAGTAGTAAATTATTTTATGTTTGAATCTCTTGTTACTCATGTTGTTGTATGCTGTGTGACAAGAAACGATTAGGATACTATCTTTTTGCTGTAAAGAGATAAAAAAAAGCACATCAATGCTGATTTCAACAGTTTAAACCATCAGGTATTTTTCTTTCTCATGACTGACTTCCAGTAAGTTACTTTTGCTCCCCCCCCCCCACCCCCACCCACAGAGTCTACAAAGATCACCTTGGCACCGTCCAATGCAGATGTTAACGTGGGAGAGAACACCTGGATGCAGTGTGCAGCGTCCCACGACCCACTGGTGGACATTACTTTTGTCTGGTCCCTGGATGGAAGAGAAATCGACTTACACAAGGACAGTGCACACTTTGAAAGCATTTTGGTGAGTGGTTATTTTTAATGATTGTGTTTCGTTGGATTGTAAAAATATACATCTGATGAGAAAAAGTTAACTTTTTTCATGAGTTCATCCGGGTCAGAACAAACTTGAGGCCAGACTCATGTCTGCACTATATTCACTCAAATACTTGATTTACATATTGGTAAAAACAGATAATATTTTTAAATTGAATTGGCCGGCCATCATATGTTGCAGTTGTAGTTTCTGCAGTCTCGTCTGTAAGTGCAGCTCTGGATTCTCTCTTGTTCCTGCTCAGCAACCAGCACATTATGACTGATTAATGAAATCCCATCTTTAAAGGGATTTTCCCTGTTGAAAAAAACAGGTTTGGTTTCACGTTTGTTTGTGTTCAGTTATTTTAAGACTTTTGCAGCAGCCTCATGATGTATAATTTACTTTTTCCTTTTATTAAGTCATGTTGACCTCACATTACTTCGTAGGAAAAGAGATGCAGTTCTGTCTAAATCTCTGTGGAATTTTCTTAAACCACTCTGCTGACTTGATTTATATTTAATTTTCCAACATGAATTTGCAGCAGACTCAGAAACCTCGTCATGTTGTTAAATAAGTTGATCGGTCTTGAATTGTTTGTTGCTTCTTGTGTTGGTTTTTGCAGAATGGAAGCTCAAATAGTAAGCTGCTGATTAAAAATGTTCAGCTGAAGCACGCTGGACACTTCGCCTGCACCGCAAAGACCCAGGTCGACAACATCACTGCCTCTGCCCACCTGGTTGTCAGGGGTAAGTCTGAGACTGCAAACAGAATACAGTGGTCCATCACTGCGGTTCATTTATCGCGGACTCACTCTATCGTGGTTTTTCAAAATAAGATAGGACATGACACACAACTGGCTGATTGATGGATGAGCCGCACGATCGGCATGGAAGTTTTATATAAAATAAATTCTTGTAAATTATTTAGCACCAGCTGCACATTTGTGTAGCCCAGAGCTGCAAGAGAAACCTCCTTCTGCATCTGATCAGCTGTTCACCGTGTAGCATGGAGAAGTGGGCGTGGCCAAGAGCGCTTGCAGTTAGTAAAGAGCAGAGTAGGCAGGGAGTTGAAATTATGATATTCTGTGCTTTTTAAGAGCGTTTAGAGTTTAGAAACATTGTTTAGAATATTGCAATTGTGTGTGAAGGGTTTAAAATTCCATATATATATATATATATATATATATATATATAATATATATACATATATAATAAAATAAACTACTACTTATTACTTGTACTACTACTCCTATATCACGGTTTTTCACTTATCACGGGGCTTCAGGGATCCCCTTCGATTAACAAGGGACTACTGTATAGATTTACCTTTGAAACCGTGAAACACTTAATAAAACATACAGTAGAAAAACAACCTCTATAAATTAAATGCACACTTTTTGCTTTCAGGTGATTTATAGTAATAATTTGCCTATAATTTTTGTTTTGGGATGGGAGGGTGCGGTCCTTTTTGATTTGAATAAACAACATTGCTCAGTTGTCTGGGCAACAAGTCCTAACCCTAACCCTGACCGAATGATGGAGGTTTCTGCATTCTTAAACAGCAGAAACGATCATTTATTGTTCCACACATTTTTATGTTAACATTTCACCTATTTTGTAGTTTGGATCTCTCTGGGCTGTGACTGTCCATGATTTGTTGGAACAACAAAATTGCAAGAAAATACAAAAAGTTTCCCTTGGAATCTATCATGATCTGTGATTTGTTGAACCCATCATGTAGACAGAGGCTAACTCAAGAATAAAACAAAGAACATTTATTTAAAGAAACAGAAAGGCTGACGTGGCAGCAAAACCTATGTGGAGGATGTGAATAAGGAGACAAAGGAAAACAGAGCATGAATGGCGGGAGGACAATCCATGGACTGGGAAGAAACAAAGTGACAGAACTTATAGAGGACCCAAATGAGACATAATGAGGAACACCTGGGGAAGGACAATGAGGAACAGGTGCAGCAGGGGCTGACAACATGAAGGAAGACACAAACCAAACACAGAACCACATCAATCAGCACTTACAACACATTTCTGTATACTAAGAAAAATGGCAACATTCAGGTAATAGTCCTGTGAGTTCTGTGCAAAATTTAATGTCTGAATGTCGTGACAATATCGTACAATTATGTTGACTTTGCAATTAGTTTAGGAAAAAAAAAATTACAAAAAATTTCCAACTATGTTCAAAATTCCAGCGTTTGGAAAAAGAGGCCTTGTGTCATGAATCACGTCCTTGTATTTAGATCTTTATCACTCTGTTCAC